CAACATGGATCTTGGCATTCCTTCACTTAAGAGTTGGCTCCAATCCCACCGGTTGATGTTATGATATGGTTTATCATATCATATAATTTTCAAAATACTCTAGACAAGTAAATACATTTTAATAATATTTCAAAATATTTTAAAGAAATGGCCTCTCGCTGTTTAAATTATCAATCAAAATTACGGAGTGAGACTCAACATGTATCCTTGGCATTCCTTTACCGATGTTACGATATGGGTTAAGTTAGAATATGAGTAATCTCTTATTTGTCTTTCAATCACGTGAAGGACTTTAATGTATGACTTTGATTGAGAACCGGTCTTTGTTTAATAATGAGACACCTACACATTGTTCGGAAGCAACATCTAACTTCACAACTTTTTTCGAGAACTAAATCGTAACTCCTGTAAAAGAACACCCTAATATGGTCTGCTGCTCTATGCCTCTATGCGCCATGTCTTAATTCGGGAAAATGAATTAGCACTACAAGTAGTTATATAATTTTAACATTTTCTTTCTCTTTCAAGAAAAATTTTATATTCTAATCGATTATTTTGCGCTATGTTCTTATATCGGTAGTTATCTTGTCATTATCCGACTTCTTAATATACAAGTTCTATCTATCATATCTCATATGTCACATGTCTCAATTACAAGAACCATGTGATGCAAGATGAAACCTTATTTTATAATACAAGAACTATGTATATTGCTGGATAGAGGAATAATCAAATTGTAATGGGCAAATTCTAAAACAGAAATTCTAAGTTTTCAATTTTTTTCTAACATAGCTTTTTTTATTCTCTGTATTATTTTGGCATAGTATTCATTATTCTTTTAGAGATGATATTACCCCAAATCATCATCTTATCATTAGCTTTCGTCCCTCAACGTCGCCTCTGCCCCATCACGTTATGTTGTAAGTCATCTCCATTACAACAAGACTCTTCCGTCCTGTCTATCGCCTCTACTCTCCTCCTCCTACCTCTATCCTATGTCCCTTCATAGATGAACAAGGGATGATAAGATAATAGTCATAAAAGGTGAAGTTATAAGAGGGTAGCAGAAGAGGCACAACAACTTTCCTTTGACATCGCGTCGTTGTAATTTTCTCCCTCCTTAACATCGACAATCACCTCTACATATCCTCCTATAAACAGCCCCTTCCTCCCTAGGTCTTTCACCTTTACTTATCTCATCGACTACCATAATCATATTATCTCTATATTCATCCCCATGATTATCTCACCCGCTACCCCTCCTACAATTCTACAACCATCGATGGTTGCCTTATTACCTCATGCTCACCTTGCATCCTCATCTTCGACGTCAGCATAAGAAGAGACGAAGCAAGAACATTTGAATGGAGCAAGAGGATGAAAGTAAATGGAGGGATGTGGAGGCAATGAGTGAGACGAAAGGTCTCACGATGGCAAAAGCGATATACAACGTAGCACGATGAGGCAAAGATGAAGAATGAAAACAGCTATAGTAAGGCAACGAGATGGAGGAGGTCAAAACGAGACGAAGGCAATGACAGGTGAGGTAGAGAACAAAAGTAATTTTATATTTAAAAAATAAAAGATGGTTTACAAGAATAACATAATATTCTAAACTTAGAGTTTAGTTTAGAGAATTATTTTATTATAAAAAATCTAAATTCTTTTAGGGAAATGAATAATAAAATAATTAACTAATTTTGAAATATGGATGATATATGATAGTGGATCAATGTTTTCGAGAAATAATTTTCTACAAATTCAGATTAAAAAAAGATTATACTCGATCATGTTTTGGAAAAACATTTCATATCAAATAGTTAATATTATTTTCACTCAAACCCCAATATCTGTAAAAGCAAGGATATTTTAGTAAAAGAATAAGCGAACCTGGGGCTATTGTTTTGGGCCTCACGAGGAGACCCAAGCAGTGGTCACGTGCCCCAAGCCCCAATGGCTCGTCAAAAAGAGCGCCGACTATTCGAACACTGTGCGCCTATTCTGACGGCCAAGCTTTCGGTAGACCCCCCGGAGACAGACATTGTTGTTACGAATTGGCAATTCAGCCATTTGAAGATATGACATAATAAACGTCTCTGTCACTTACGCGTTGTTCTCATCTGCCTCGCTCTGCAGTGTACATCAGCAACTTTGTTCAAAATTTCAGAAAAGTCAATCCTAATAACTTTCCACGAGCTCGTGCCGACAAGTTTCTCGGTGTCAATGTAACACGATTGACTCCAAGTCAATCATAAATGTTTACGTATTTCATTACGTAGTTGAATGATCATGAGTGTCAACACATGATCATCCCAAAAACCAATCCGTATGGTTGGTTGGAATGAATAGTCACTAGAAATACGAAAATTGAAGATACAATAGAATAGTCCTTCGGACTTGAGATAACCAAGGTTTGATCTCGATTATCAAATCAACATCTTGATAGTCAAGAAAATAGAATACACCATTAACTGACATCTTTATAAAATTTAACGGTTGACATCTCCGATTCCCAATCGATAATGGGTTTAATACATCATTACTAGACTTTAAGGTTGCTAGTGCTCTATACAAGGTTGTTGGGAGACTCATCCAACCTGATTAATTGTTCTTTGTTGTTTAAGACAAAAGATTTACTTTAACTGTTTAATCACTTTGAATCTAACAACATAAATCAGATTTACATTTTTTTTCAAAAAGCCAATCATGTTGATGAATGGTACGTAAGTGATGAGAATAATAATGGCGACAAGACTCGGGTTGACGTCAATTACCTCGGATGACGCCTCACGTCTCGATCAACTCGACAGCACCTGGTCAAACGGATTAGAACGCCGATCGAGGCGCACTAACGTCCTGCTCAGACTCGATCCTTCACGCCATGCCAACACCAGTGTCAGACGCTACCAGGAGTACGAGCTTGCCCCCTGCAAGCGGGCACATCAGGAAACAGTAAGCTTCCCTATAAATACCCTTGCATTCTGAACGGGATGGTAGAGGCAGACAGAGGGAACGAACAAACCCCCTTTACCATCCACTGACTCGATCGTCGGAGGGATCGAGTCAAGCTCTCCCGACCCTACCTGTGTGCAGGTGCGAAGACGGAGGCCTCTCGCTGGACGCCCAGGCAAGGAGCCCCCTCTCGGAGGAAACGACGATCCCGTCCCTATCGGACCACTGCAGCCGACCACCTCAGCGGTCTCCAGGGTCGTTCCGGGAAGATCCCCCATCGTCCGGACCCGAACTAAACCGCGTCGGCCCCGAGACCACGACTTAAGATTGTTTACACAAACAATAAGTATTTACATCACCAGCTACTCAAGGCTAAATCGGGATATGTTTCGTTGTCAATAATTGATTTGGAAGGGGAACAGCATCCTATTTAAAGGAAGTCAATCAGAGTGGAGGTCTAGCGGAAGCGATACGTTAACGTAGCCATCATTGACACGGCAGCCATGACGTGGCTATGTGTCAAATACACACAAGTCAAGTGGATGGTGACGGTGCATCGACAGCCTTTCGGCTATCGCTAAAGTCCGTGCTTTGCCCACCCGTCTCTCTTCTTTCTTTTTTCCTAACGTTTTATGACTCAGCTGGCGCCGCCTTCGCCATCGGAGGTAAAGACGAAGAGACGCCACGACGGACCCTTCTACCTTAAGCTATTCTTTTTATGAGATGACACATTGTTCGTCTCCGCTTTCACTCCCACTTGCTTCGTGTTCTACGATATTTTATTCTACACATTCGAATCTACCTTTTTGTCCCCTTTTGTTTTGTTTTGTTTTGTTTTTTTTTTATCGTGTTGGCAAGACCGTGGAAACTGACTAAGCAAACATCGCAAAATAAACAAAAGGAGTGAACTCTTTACCTCGAATAGGAGAGTTACTTTGTCGACAGCTTTTTGCAGTCCGTCCATATAGGCCATAATGTACCCATCCCAAATTTATTAAGAACCTGAGAGAGCAAGACAGTCGAGATTCCTCAGATTTAGCTGCTTGCAAACATTAGTGATACAGAAAAGTACAGCTTGCATACATAAACTGGCCGACCAAAGAGATACAGAAAAGCTAGGTTAGTCAGTTGATGAGAAATTGAAATTAATGAACTTATCAGAAGATGAGTGTGAACAATATTAATGTAGCAGACTACAGCTAGTTAAGTCACTCTCATCCCAACGCAGTCCTGCAATTAGTACATTATTTCTGATCTCCTCTATTATTTATGATCCGTTTCAACTATTTTATACGATTTGCTAAAAGGATAATGCAATTAGCACGTTATCCGTACTCACAAAATTTGGGAATGCACGTGCCTCATGATTTGCTTTCTCGGGCCTTGCATATAAGCAAAGGTATGATTATATGTATTAAGGATACCAATCTTGAATTGATGCAAAGCAAACAGTTTACGAGCCAGAGGCTTCGTGAGTAGAGCAAGAGCAGATCGTTGCTGCTGATTGTGACGACGACGACCGTAGTAGAGGAGAAACAACAGAGGAGGAAGCTACAGCAAAGGAGGAAAGGTGGGGCAGTGCTAGTGAGCGCAGCATTAAAGACACCACAACGGAAGGGAACAAACGTTGGCGTAGAATAACAGTAGAGAAGACAGTTGCCGTTCGTCGAGGAGGAAAGATTTGTCACACCGACAACTTGACGATGGAAAAGCAATAGTAGAAAGCCTTTTCTTTTGTCGCTGGAGGTGGAGAAACAACAATGATGAGTCGGCAACGAGAAAAGAGCTTGCTCTAAACAAACAGCTCTGATACCATGATGGAAAGAATAGAAGATAAAAATAATTATTGAAGAAGTTTTATTGTAGAAGTTTTATTGAAGTATCTTTAGCTTGAATACATTAACATGTCGCTCTCCTATTTATACAAATCATGAGAAAAAATTTTTCTCAACAAAATAAAAAATTTTCCTCAACAGAGTAGAGAGATTTCCTTAACGAGAAAACGATCTATCAAAGGGACAACATCCTACATAAACCAGATTGAGGAGGTGGACATAATCACTAGTAAAATACTACTTGTGTTTTGAGCAATTGGTGCCAGGTGCCCAGGATGTCCTCTCCATATTATCAAGTTTGCTTCGTGCCTAAGAATACTCGAAAAGGTCATCAATACTCCAGCAAGAGGTTCCAAGAAACCTGTGCATCACCTTCTCACTGGAGTTCCCGGCACGAGGGCAGAATTGCAGAAGAAATATTTAATGCTTGACAAATATCATCCAGCTCAAATTGATGAGGATTTGTGCATAACAGAAATGTGTTACACGCTGATGCTCCCGGGAGAGGCATCAGTTAAAGTGATGGCTAAAAAAGAGCATAGATCAGTATACCAACTAATGAATTCTTCAAAATACCTGACTATGCATGACCTCCTGTCCAGGCATACAGCAATATACATTCATATCAATAGCAATAGATACCCCAAGCTGTAAAAGCAAAATAGGTAAGTGCCACTGGCACAATATTCTTATTTAAAATATATAGACCATGACAAGAAAACAAAAACGTTCCTGTAAACTTCTAAACTACAGTAGAAATTTTCAAAGGCTGGAGTTAAAATCTTTTAGAAGGAAACAGATCTCCTTAATTCGTTCAGGTAATATCTCGGGCCACTGTCAGATCCCATATGCACTCAAGAGGTACTAACAATCATTAAAGACCTCCCAAGACAATTTCATGAACCAAATGAGAGCTAAATGAAATGTTGTATTGAGTATATAAATGTACAAGAAGGATCTTTAAACACTACCCGAAGATCAAGAAGTCCCTTCGGTATTTGTACAAAATTTTCAGCAACTATAAGCTAAAATTGAGATACATTGCTTTGTTTGTGTTGTGCAACAAATCATATCATATATTCATAAAATGATTTCAGCAAAATATCCATCACAAAGATGGAGCAGACACCTTCATCACCTAAATGCCCAGGGATATGATTAATAAGAAGTCGGTATTCAAGAGGAAGGAAGAAAAATGCTGCTCTCAATGCTCGACCCTGACATGAATGCCATGTCCTCTCTTGGATAGTGAGTAAAATGTGCAACATCAGGAGTTCCATAATGAAACATAATTTGCATTTATATTCCGGTGAAAATAATTATGACTTTTTATAATTCTCAATGATGGCAAAAGATGTATGTAGCCGATCTCAAATAGTTGAAACTTATGATCTTGTTGTTAGTATTGTTGTTGTAGTTATATTCTGATTGAAACAACTAGAAGCATAATAAAATTTCTCAAATAAAACGCCAAGTTTCTCAATATACCACTTCTTTTGGATCATCATATATAACATTTTGAGATGAAAGCCATGATTAAAATGTGAATTTTGAACATTACGTATGTGAAGGATATATCACCAAGCAGATTGCAAAAAGGTAATCTAAGATAAATGTTCACCTTTAAGACAAGATCATGCCAGCAAGTTTCTGTTGCTATATCCAGATAACCATAAGGCATTCCAGCCTTGGATACACTTCAGTAATCAGTTAAAAATTAGGCATCCATCGGTACCTTTGGCAACTGAGAGTAAAATGTAGAGAACGTTACAATAACAGAACACAGTGATGACAGAATACAGAAGAGATGAGTCAGAAGATAATGAGTAACAGGACATCTGAAATCTTGCCTGGTTTTTCACACAGCAATTAGTAATTAATTCTTAATTGTAAAGCACACTAAATGCTGGTTTAGCTTTTTATCTTTTGATAGAGTTCTAGATGTACCATGACACACAACAATAAAAGTCTGAAGTAAGCACATGTGTCTGTTAACTCCTTAAGGTTTCCAACTTGGTTTCTATCCAAGACTCAGAGCTGATGCTGTAAGGACTCATAAAATCATGGAATCAACCACTGTAAGTATTTTACCGAGATCTCTGTGAACTGAGCTTATGACAAAATTCTGTATTGGGAATATCCAATATTTTCTATTAAACATTGACTGGTTCAAGCTAAATCAGCTCTTTTTTATTGGGAAGATCCGGATGGCCTCGAGTTGGCAAGCTAAGAAATCAGGGAGAATTAAAGAAATAGATTAGAAGAGATCTAAAAAATGAAACCTTACATCGAGGCTTTGAGAGTGGATATTAATGAGTTCCAATTACTTTTCAATCGATTTCAGTGGAAAATGACATGATTTTCAGATAGTTTTGGCAAATTAAAGTTGTGGGGTTACACTAGTTGAAGTCGGTCCATTTTAGTTGTAACATATTGGCTTTAGTCAGCACATAAAAAAAAAACCATCGCTTTGACCAAAAACTAAAGCCAACATAAAATGTGAACAGTGAAGTTGCATACTTGAAATATAGTTCTAGAGTTCATCTCAATGTGCGACTTTGAAGTTTTCCATTGCACGTAGAGAATTCCTAAAGCCAATCTTCAAATATAGTCCTAGAGCTCATCTTAATGTGCAGACTGTGAAGTTCTCAGTTGCTCGTAGAGAATTCCTATAGCCAAAGGAACTTTTGACTCTTCTAGCAGTCATCTAGGCTTCCTCACTTGTCAATGAGCATACTTCTGGTCCTATCAAGCAAGCATCACATTAATAGTAGTCAAGATGCAGGACATTTGTAATTTTAAGAGACCGTCATGTCACAAAATACTTGAGCTAGGTGACTTCATTTTGCAGGGTTAGGCCAGCTTCCAGCACATCTTGAATAAAGAAAAAATCACCATCACTAGTTTCCTTTCCATGAATAGCAACTATAGTTCCTGTTGGAAAGAAAATGATGAATCATGTGGATAATGGAATTGCATAGTTCACATACATACTAGTAAGATAAGTTTTCTTTTCCTAAAGCATACAGAACCTTCAAATATATGATGTGGAACCTGTTATGACATATAAAAGATCGAGCACACTTCCCATGAGTTTAGCTCCTCCATTATCATCGTCTGATAAAATATGATCATCAGGCTGCACAAAATTATGAGAGTTTGCTAGAGGAACTTCAGATCATTGAATATCAAACAAAATGGCAAAACAGAAGTTCAATCCAAGCAAAGATATATTTGTCAATATGGCTTGCACCAGGAATGGTGCTGTCGACTAAAATTGAACTCATTATAGTATCCATCAAGAACAGTGCGCTTGAGTTTCGTATGATTGTAAATTGTTTAGACAATGATGCATTCTCTCTCTTATTCAATATCCTAAACTGTATTAACTGCAACAAAAAGATAAGTTGAGACTGAAAAACTAATATCATAAAATAATTCGTTTATGCTGAGATATATAGCCTAAAACAAAGATTCAAGAGAACCAAGATATCGACCTTATAAGGAAAGGCAGGACAGCCACATTGTACCTGCACACAGTCGCAAGAACATTACATCAAAAGATGGAAAAAAGAAAAAACGGAAAGCGATTCTCACCTCATATACCCAACCTATCAAGAAAGAAGTCCACAAAAGGTCAGTAATTAGAGAATCACCGCGGAGGTAGAGCTTCCGCTTGGGTACGAGAGAGTAAGGGAATTCTTCATGTAGTACTGCTGTCTCTTGTACGGTTACCCGCGGATCTCACCTTTCGTTCAGCGATCGAACCAAGAAATCAAAGAAAAGAGTTTAACCCTAACTCAGAGGAGAATCGCCAAAATTTCACACGGAAGAAAATGGACCGAATAGGGAAAAAACGAACGGGTCGAAAGATGGAGAAATCAGAGTACAAGATTCCTGTAGACGGATTGCTTCCTCCCGAAGAGCTTCGGGCTTCGCTGGTCTCCAAGTCGACTTCCATGCCGAGGAGACGAAAGCCGAGAAGGTTTTCGAATTGGGAGCGTCGCGTTCCCGCTAGCCTGCGATCGGGTATTTATAGTGCGCGGAAGATCGCGGATCGGCTTGCTGGATAAAACACCGAATACGCTGTTGCTCTGCTTGTAGATGTTCGACGCGTGGCCCAAGAGGCTGGGCGAACGTGAGCTAATTCTCCTACATCGGTTTGGGGGCTCGCCCTGAACGGTGGCCTTGGCGGTTCAAGGCGACCCGACCCGTATGGCGAGGTTGTGAGATCACGTACGAGATGAAACTGATCTATTATTATTCATCATCAAACTATTATGAACGGTGGAGATCACACTTGTGCCGACCGTCATGAGCTAATTTATGGTCAAACGAGCTTGATCGCCTTTGTATGAATTTTTTGGGAGCGATTTGCATGAAAAAGTTTTTCTTTTTGGGCTTTTCTCAAACAATGCCGCTATTTTTATTTTTTTTTAAGATGGTGCTCATATTCCATGCACTCTTGTAAATGCCGCTCATCATCATCTATCACTATTGTCTCATTTTCATCATTTTTCACCGAGGGGAATTACAATAAGCTTTTACTTTTTCTTGGGCTCGACCATCACTTGCTCACTTTCAGCCTTAGCACGCTCGACATCGACACTTACTTGCTTTCCATCACTATTGTTCATCCATTTTTATCTTTAATCAAATAATTAAATTTAAGTCGCGAGGAGCTAGCAATGATGAGAACAACCAGTAAGAGCTATGGTAAATGTGGGGAGAGAGGTTTTCCATAGTAAAAGTGATGACTATGCTAGGAATACAAAATTATGAGTCAATTTGCGACGATACTTAAGACAATGGACCATATATAAAGGAAGAGGGAAGAGAAGCTTCCGTCATGACCACTTCCTTCCTCTCAACCAAGATTGACAATCATAATAGATGAGAAGGGCCTAATAGTCGACGTGATAGAAGACGATAGGATAGAGACAGTGAATTGGTGATGTTGATAAACAATATTTATGAAATTAACCTGCTTTTGATTAACAAAGTCCACGAATTATACTATCTCACTGTACTGGAAGTAGCAGATAAACCTCATTTGTGCAGCAGTGGCTAATTGTTTCTTGTGGTAAACAATCATCACATGCAAAACCACCGTAGTAAACTAGTATAGAATAACCTTGTTTTGTATTTTCTTATTTCTTCAGAAATAATTGGTATCTTTCAAGAATTTTGTAGAAGCTCAAAGATGATGAAACTATCAAGTGCCATGAGAATCCCCGTTGTTGCGGCCACTCACATTTCTGCCACAAGGAAGCTTATAACTCTTAAGTTCCAATTGATGAGAAACAGAAGAAATTATATTTTACAATTCCTAAACTCCAAATGGAATGAACTCCATAAATAAAATATAAGGAAACCAAGAGAAAAAAAAGAAGAAGAAGTTTTTAGGGTCATGTATTGTCTACTCATAATAATTCTTATTAGGATGATTAATTTATGCCCCTTCCATTTTCTATTACCAAGAATGCATTAAGATAAGGTCTACTTTATTCTAATAAGAAATTGTGATAATTAAGCAGCAGCATTTAACAGACAGCAGAGCAAAGTTTAAGAGGAGATAAACATCAGCAGCCTTTTCCATTCGGTTTCTATGGCTAAGCATTCAGAGGTTTCAGATACGAAAGCCAAGGATGTGGATTTCATTTCAGAACTTGAACATAAGGCCATACATACTGCAAGATTTGGTGAGTTACTTCTCAAACTATATAAATATAATTAAATATATACAACCAAAACATTACAAGGAATAGGATATAAGAACAGACAACCTTGATGTTACAATTCAAATCTCCTTGGAAACTGCAGCTTCACGACCGATTGCTATCTCCTGCAACCAAAGTCCACAGAAGGTAAACATGTTTATTGTAGGAACAAAAAAGATATATTTCATCTAAAACTTTGAACATGAAACATGTTGATAAACTGATAATAAATGAGACTGATGATAACCAAGAGAACATCACCTATTCTAGTGGTGTGTTTAAACTCCAAAATTCAAGCACACAAATAATTTAAATGATATATCTAAGATTCCTCATTTTTGTTTGATAGAGAACTCATGAGGTTCAAACATCATTATCCAGATGACACAGACCTGATCCAAGCTAGCAAAAGGAATCATGACACTTTGTTCATAATATATTAATAAAAACTGATGTATCACACAGAAACAATCTAAATAGTTATCGCACATTTCATTCCGGAAAGCAAGCAAAGTTGCATAAGAAATCTTGCAAGAGAATAACTTGCCTTCAGCATTCCATTATTAAGGAAGACACATCTGGATGTTATGGCATTTCCATGATCTAACAACCATCCGACTTCCCACCGAGTTTCACCATCTTTATTTTCACCAGACAAGGACCATAATTGCTTAGGCAGTGCTACTAGGCCATGAACTTCTCTAATTGTCTTGAATGGCAAATCCACAACAAGTTCATGGAAAATATCCTGTAATGTGAAGCTCAGATTAGATATTGATGAATGACAGCGCTATAATAGCTGTCGTAAGTTAAGACTTAGTGTGTGTGCAATATTGCCAGACTAATCCTATCAAAATGTAGCTATATTGCTGTAATGCATGGCAATATCGAAACACATCGACATGCAAAAAAACACCAGGGAACACTTTCAGCCTTCAACAAAGAAACATGCCCAGAAAATACCTCAATGTCAACAATGCTTGCACAATCCAATCTGCAGTAGTGTAAATAACCCATGTACTAAATGAAGTACAGGATTTGTCAATACATCTGCAATAAGATAGTCTACACCAGTGATTAAAAAAGGCGCTCGGGCGCTCGCCTAGGCGAGGCCCGAGCGCCTCGCTAATGTCCCAGGCGGCGCGTTTCAAACAGGCGTCGCCTGGGCGCTGGGCGCTTCGGGCGAGCGCCTGGGTAAACCAAGTGACCGAACCAGGATTTTAGGTCTGGTTCGGTCCTGGTTCGGTTGTTAGTTGGTTCAATCGAACCAACTAAACCGATATAACCCTTACCTAACCCTTACCCAACCCTAACCTGCTACTGCTGCCGCTCCCGATCCCGATCTCGCTGCTCGTCGCTGTCGCTGCTCGCGCCTCCCGCGAGCCCTCTCGCTGCTCGTGCCTCCCGCGAGCCTTCCTGCTGCTCGCGACTCCCGCGAGCCCTCCCGCTG